GAGCAGCCCGCTGCCGTGGCGGGGAGTTGGCTCCGGCGGGGAAATATCGAAGGCGAAGCTGGGCGCCGGCCCCGCGTTTCGGCAGGACGGGGAGCGCAGAGCTGGACCCGGCGAGGGGACGAGCACAGAGAACAGAAACGCAGGCGTACATTTATATAAGTATATACGCATATGCGTGCGCGTCTGGGTGTAAACTGAGTACGAACGTGAAAAACTAGTCCAGATGTAGAACTGATGTATATACCCATACATCTTATACGTACACACACATGCTTGTACTAAAATGACTGATGGATATCTGTATCTATATATGCACACGCACACACGTATATATTGTATTATCCCAAGGAACTAACGTATCTCCAGTGCGGATTTTTAAATTTAAGAAGGGCCGTGGGCACACGTTGCAGGCAGAGCCCTGGAGGGGCCAGGCAGCGCACCCCTGCCGCTCGGGATACAGTGTCTGCAGGGCGCAGCCTGGAAATCCACCGAGCTGCTGCAGCGGTTCTCCAGTTTTATTTTGCTGCGATATTTTCCCCGATGCGAAGAAGAAGCGGGCATTGTCAAGGCCGGAAAGGTATACTGGCTTGCAAACAGGGTTGTGTTTCTTTGCACTCTCCTCATTCGTGTAGGAGCTTTCAAATATACCGCAGGCTGGACCGCGAGTGTGACAGTCTCCGTGGCAAGCCACTACGGTCACTCCGATAACATCTCCGATGATGAAGGAAACGGAAAACATGAGGCAGAGAAAAAGTAATAAAAGATACAGGAGATATCGATCAGGGCACCAGTCTCCAAAGCTAGCATCATTATTGCTTAATTAGCTTTGGAGAAAGAGGGTCTCTAGATAAAGGACCCAGCAGGATCTTACATATATTTTTTCCTCCTATCCCTCAGCAGCTGTTTATGCGTTTTATAAAGCGAGTTTTAGAGCAAATGCAGCTCTTGTGTCCTCCCTCAGCTTTTAACTACTCAGACTGCCCGGTCAGGGTTTGTAGCCTTTTCTGTTTGATCAACGCGTTGGAAACCGCTGTAGTCCAGAGTACCTTTCCTAAGATAAGCTTAGAGTCCGCTAAAAAGCACCGGCGTTTTGCCAATCTTCCATTTATTGATTCGATTACATTTTTTTCGCGCACAAATCATTCGCTTAAAGAAACCCAAAACAAACCTCTCGCCTTATGTCACTTATTTCCCTGCCAAAATGGTTGCGCGTTAGGCGGCGATTTATCTGGGCTCTGCTGCCAAACAGGACTTTCCTAGCTCGCTGTAATTAAGAAATTTTGGTGGCGACTCTACCGAGGCTGGTTTTCCCTTTCCCTCCCCCCAAGCTTAGAGTCCGCTAAAAAGCACCGGCGTTTTGCCAATCTTCCATTTATTGATTCGATTACATTTTTTTCGCGCACAAATCATTCGCTTAAAGAAACCCAAAACACAAACCTCTCCTTATGTCACTTATTTCCCTGCCAAAATGGTTGCGCGTTAGGCGGCGATTTATCTGGGCTCTGGCCAAACAGGACTTTCCTAGCTCGCTGTAATTAAGAAATTTTGGTGGCGACTCTACCGAGGCTGGTTTTCTC